GACCCCAGGTGCAACTGCGAGAGGGGCGTCGAAACTTAAATGAAAGTGCATTGTACTTACAGGAATTGAAGTTTCGACTCCATCCTCCGCGTGCTCCTGGGGGGCCCAGCGGTTAAGCGTTGAGCTGAACCCTTGGCTCTGATTACCAAGTGTCACAGGATCGAATGTGTCGAGGAAAGGTTTGCTCAATGTTCCACTATCAATCAGTACAAGGTGCTTTTATACTTCCAGAGTACATCAGGTAACCAGGTTTATCCTATCCAAAGGGAATAGACCCTTCTAGAAATAGAATCACCCTGCGTATAGCCACGCGAGGCTATTGGCTTTAAGGGATTACGGCAGGATTACGCTAGATATAGCGCGCCAGTACATCCCGAGCCTGGTCGGTGATATAATCATAATAATAGGATAAACCAAAGGATAATGGAAAAGGAGGAATAGGAAACCAAATGAGATGAGATAAAGACCAAATGAATGAGGATAAAAAGAGGAATGAAATAGAAAGGAAATATGGAAAGGGGAAAATAGTGTAACGGGGTCGTACTCTCACACTAGGTCTCCCTGCGTCGTTTCCTGCCCTCCCTCCCTCGCCTGTGCCGCCGTGCACGCCTTGCGTCGAGGGCCGGTTGCGCCGTGCTTCTCACTCCCCCTCGCTTCACCCTGCCGCTGCACCCCTCCAGGCCCTGCACTTGGACGTCTGGGGCCTAGACCCCGTCCCTGGACCGCGTCGCAAGCGCTACTTTCTCGTGCTCGTCGACGACTTCACGCGCTACACCATGGTGTTTCCCCTGGAGCAGAAGGCCGACGTGCCTAGCGTTCTTATCCTGTGGGTTATAGCTGCGAGCCTCCACCGCGGTCTCCCCGTGTTGTGTCTCCACTTCGACCGTGGCGGCACGTTCGCCTCTGGTCGGCTTGGACAGTTCTGTCGTGCGGAGGGCATCACCCAATCTTACACCCTACCGGACTCCCCACAGCAGAATGGGGTCGCTGAGCAATGCATCGGTTTGATCATGGAGGTGGCTCGTACCCTCATGATTTATGCCGGTACACCCCATATTCTGTGGCCGTTCGCCGTTCGCTACGCTGCTCACCAGCTTAACCTCTGGCCGCGCTCCTAGCGGCCGCAGGTTTCACCGACCCTTCTTTGGACCGGGTTCCCTGGTGACGCATCCGCGTTCCACGTCTGGGGCTGCCTTGCTCACGTCCGTGCCTCTGGCACGGATAAGCTCACTACCCTCACTGTCCCTATGTCTTCCTAGGTTTCCCCCTTGACTCGTCTGACAGGCACTTTTACCACCCGCCGTCTCACCGCTTCTTTCACTCTCGTGACGCTACTTTGAACGAGTCTATCTCCTTTTACCACGGCTTCCCCCACCAAGGTCCCCTGGCTTCCCCTCCCCTGTTTCTGGTTCCCACTCCCCCGGTAGCCCCTGCTTCCCTCCCTCCCCTTCCTGCTCCCTCGTGTGTGTCCCACGTCACTCCCCTCCCGTCGGTTGTCCCGGTCGAGGAGTCGGCCGACTCTGGTGGACCCGCGGCGCCGTTCTCGCCGCCTGCCTCTCCCCTGGTGTCTCCTCCTCCGCCGTCGCAGTCGCCACCGCAGCCGTCATTGCCGCCGTAGTAGTCCCAGCTGCCGCCACCACAATAGCCGCCGTTGCCGCTGCTGCAGCAGCTGTTCGTAGACTCTAAGGGTGCTGGCATTGAGGAGGGTGCTAGACCTGGGGTTCATGTCGTTGCTTGTCCCGGAGGGCCTGGGGGTGGCACCGGTGGTTGAGAGAGTTCCTGCTCTAAGGGTACTCGTTCTGGGGGTCCTGGAATGGAGTGTTCCAGAGGTGGCCGTGGTGCAGCTGGTGGTCCAGGCGTCGGCATCGAGCAGCAGCAGCAGCAGCAGACGCCGCCGATGTCCGCCTTTCGCCTGCTCGACCTTCCCTCCCCTGATTGCTTGCCTGCGCCTCCCCTGCCCCCTCCTCCCCTTCCTGTCTACGGCCCTGTGTTCCCTCCGCCGGACTCGTCTCCGGCTCGTCTTCCCCCTCGTTCCCCTCTTGAGTCTCCTCCTCTGTCTCCTGACCAAACGCCTCCGTCTCATGTCTGGTCTCGCCGTCCCTCTCGTGCTCATCCTGTCGCTTCTATTCAACGTTCTCACCCTATGTTGCTTCATTCCCTTTTGCCTTCGCCTCCTCCGTCGTCGCTCGCAGACAAGCCTCCCCCTTTGTCTGACTACCTTCGTGCCGCTCGTCCTCTTATTCCTCGGGTTCTTGCCTCCCTCCTTACCGACCCGTCTGTTCCTGTCTCCAGTCTTGATGCTCTTGTCGATGCTGTCGCTGACTTTGCCTCTATCCGTCGCCTTGACCATACCACCGCTCTGGCCTTACTAGTACCTTCCCTCCTGGGACCCAGTGGCTCCTTCGGCGCCCGTTCTACAACCAGCGACAGGCGCCCCGTGAGTGGCACGACACGCTACGTGCTACACTAGCTGACCTGCAGTTCTTTCCGTTCTCTGCAGACCCCTCGCTCTTCGTTCGTGCTGGCCAAACTTTGTTCTGCATCCTTGTCTACGTAAACGACCTGGTCTTCGCTACTGCAGACAGAGAGGCACTAGCCTCCGTGAAGGCCGAGCTGCTGAGGAGACACACGTGCACTGACCTAGGAGAGCTGTGCCGCTACCTTGGCCCGCAGATCTCCAGGGACAGAGCAGCCCGCACCATCACTCTCACACAGTCACACTTGGTGCGTCAGGTCCTTCAGAGGTTCGGTATTCAGTTCTCCTCCGCACAGCCCACACCTCTGCCAGTAGACTACAGGCTCTCGGCTCCAGTTTCTGAGGAGTCAGTAGAGCCCAGTGGTCCTTACGCAGAGCTGGTGGGTTGCCTCATGTACCTGATGACTTGCACTCGTCCCGATCTCGCATACCCTCTCAGCATCCTGGCTCGCTTTGTGGCCACGGGCAGACACCGACCACAGCACTGGTCGGCCGCTAAGAGGGTTTTGCGTTATCTAGCAAGTACATCGGGCATGGGGTTAGTGCTGGGAGGACGCAGGCTAGTGGTCCTTACTGGCCACAAAGACGCTTCTCGGGCAGACGACGATGAGGCCCTCAGGTCCTTCCAGGGCTACTGCTTTAGCCTTGATTCAGGTGCCATCTCGTGGAGGTCCACTCGCTCCTCGTTTGTTGCCCAGTCTAGCTGTGAGGCTGAGATCTACGCCGATGCCATGGCGGCACTGGAGCTCCGCTGGCTGACGTTCTTGCTCACCGACTTGGGTGAGCGGCCTAGCTTTGCCCCGGTCCTGTACGTTGACAACATGGCCATGATCCTTGACTTAAGGGCAGAGCGAAGCACATCCAGCTGCGGTACTTCCTCCTGCGCGAGCTACAACAGCGCCGCCAGGCTCGCGTAGTACACTTTGCCTCGGGTGCCAACACAGCTGATATATTTGCTAAGGCGCTTGCGCCTAAAGATCATCAGCAGCACTGTTTGCAGCTTGGTCTAGTTCCTACAGACTCTCTCTTGCTAGGACCTTGATTGTGTTCTCGTCTTTATATATGTACCTTCCAGACTTGCCTTGTGGCTTCTCTTCCAATGGCTGGACTAGTAGTGCCGCTCTGGTGTGTTCTTGTTCTGTTTGTACTCTTGCTACTAGTCTTCGGACCCGTGCCTGTGAGGTTGGACTAGTAGTGCCACCCTGAGCTGCGTGTTCCTAGCTCTGTACTTCCCCTTATCTAGCCTAGGGGGTGTGTCAACGTATACATATGTTTGTAGGCTAGATAGGCTTGTGTTCGTAGTGCGTACATCTCCAACCCTATATCTTCCCCGTACTCTCTTGTTTCCATAATTCTAGGATTCGAGCACGTATGTTCTAAAAGCTGCTAAATAAGAAAAAAAATCGCTATGATACTGCTGCGCGCGCCGTAGTCTGTCGCTATATTTATTCCAATATAGCCAAATTGGAACGACTCCAACAAAACGTTCACTGGGCTTCAACCTTGATCTTTACTATCCTTATTTCACACACTACAGGTAACGTCTTCCACATCATCCATCTTCTGACCTGGGCTTGAATCTGGTGAGGCCTTGCCTGCCTCATTTGTCAAGGGCATTACGTTGGCTTGCCCATGTCCTTTATTATGTGCTACAGTTGCAAACTATAGCAATGTAATGTTTGAGGAGGACACGATTTCTAGATAGTGAAACATGCAGTGTCGAGTAGAGCGCCTCGTCCCGTATGTTTGAAAGTCAGTAAGAATTTGAACTTATGCTCTGACATTATGACATTCAGGTCAACGGTGACTCGGGTCCCACCATACAATCCAGTCGCGGAACGATTGCGATTGGTTGTTGTCATACACCACACCGCCCTTCACCACCATCCCCTCAGCAATTGTGATTGGCTTTCACTCTCGACCACACGATGCATAGAATCATCGTTGTCACCAGTCCATCCAACGGCCATTTGGATCCGAAAAGGTTCAACAAAGATGCGATCGGCCGTCAGATCAAGCAGAATGGTTACCATGCATGAGCAGAATAAAATCCCCCCCCCCCCATCACTTGGTTGTCTGTCAGGCGCGCTCTCTCGGAACGGCCCCGCGCAGCACCGCGAGGTGGGCGCAATTTCAGCGCTGCAGGACACTCCCGCCAGCCGCCGCACGGCTTCGTGGCTGCAAAAGTGTTCGCAAACTCTACTCCACGAATTCGCAAAGAGCTACAGAATGTCGGCAGGCGAAAAAGTGACCTCCTCGTTAACAGTTCCGCTTCCGCCACTGACACCTTGTGCAGCGCAGCGCTCGAAAATTTGCTCGGAAACCTTGCGCAGCGCTCCCCTTTTCAGCAGATTCCGTCGGCAGGAGGTCTTCCATAGGTTTCCGCCTTGTGCTTGCAATTGGCATAACTCCACTCCCCATTGTTCAGTGAGTGGTGGCAAGACTTACCGCTCCACTCCTTCCCCCAGTCCCTTGCCTTCACTCCATGCTTTCTCCTCTTCCCTGAATCCCCTCTCGCGCTTCTCCCTGTCAACTACGTCTTTCTGAATTTTCTTCCCTGGGATCCTTGAGTCATTTCTTCCTCCGCACCAGTTCAATTGCTTCTTTTCGCCGTCGCCGACGACTAGCCATGGCGAACTTAACTTCCTCGTAGCTTGTTTGTTTGATCTATGGCTGCCGTAGCTTCAACCTACAGTTTGTAGAGTTGCAAGCTTTTGCGGGCACAGCAAATTCGGAGTTTCCTAGCTACGGTAGTAATGGCCGCCGTAACTCCATTTTAGAATAGTTCCTGAAGCTATGTAACCATAGTCGTCTCCTTGAAGTTATCTCCTGAATATATCTCCTCGTTTCCTATAGTTTGGAATCTATCTTCATTCGGTTATTTCCTAGTTCGTATAAATCCAGAGCTACCAGAGGATATTTTTAAGTTCTTAAAGCTCCAGAATCTGGAGTTACCGGAAGATATTTCCAAGTTCTTATAGTTCCAGAGCTACCGGAAGATGTTTCCGAGTTCTTATAGCTCCTACCAGAGGATATTTCCAAGTACTTATAGCTCCGAAGCTGTCATTTATTACCTTAGCTCGGATGCTATCTCTCCGTTTTATTCCTCGGACGCTATATCCCTATTTGATAGCTTCCGACACCGCGAATCCAGAGTCTTCTATTTCTATAGCTCGGACGCTATCTCTCTGTTTTATACCGCGGAGGCTATTACATCCCAGATTGATAGCTCGGATCCGTAGCTTCCGACACCGTCAATCCATTGTCGCGTCTGGCGCAGCGGAGCTCCAGATTCGGCGAAAGCGACGGCGAAAGCGGAGCTTCTGAGACGGAGATATTGAAACGGCGAAATTGGTGCTTAAGCGACGTCGATAATGAAGCCTCAGAGCCGGCGAAACCCAAGATTCAGCGACTGCGAAACCGGTGCTTTCGACACCGGTGCTTTCAAACTTCCGTAGCTTTCGACACCGTCAATTCCTTGTCGCGTCTGGCGAAGCGGAGCTCCAGATTCGGCGAGGATCCTTGCTTCAGCGACGGCGAAAGCGGAGCTTCTGAGAGGACGCCGTAGAAGCTTCAGAGACGGCGAAATTGGTCGTTCAGCGACGTCGAATGAAGCTTAAAACACGGCGAAAGCGGAGTCGGCGGAACCCACGCTTCAGCGACGCTGCTAGCGATTTTGGCGACGCTGCTGGCGATCTCGGCGACGTTCAGCGATTTGGCGACCTTGCTGCTGCTGCTGTTGGCGATCCTGCTACCACTGCTGGCTGCATCCGCTCCGACAACCCGACGATCCGCTGCTAAGTTCTCTTACCCTCCTCCGTTGCGTTGCTGTTCTCTGTTATTGCTGTTATTGATGGCCCTAGGCACTGCTGTGTGGTTGGCTGAGAGGTGGATGGGAGATTGGAGTAAATTGGTAAGTGATGGCGTGGCGGCTCAAGGCGCGTGGCAGTCGCTCGCATGGTCTAGTCGGGTTAACTTTAATATCATTCATCCTCAAGCGCGCGTCCCTCTCTCTCCTCTTGAACCTCCTCTTTCTCCTCTCAGTCCCCCTCGCATGGCTGCCAAGTGCCCTGGGTTCGCCCGTCCCTCACACTCCAAACTCCTTGAATCCTTGAAGCCTCTCTCATTGCAGTAGTGCCGTGGGTCTTAGAAGCACATTCGTTTCCCTCATTCGTGCTTTAATTGTTGCTTGTCAGTTGTTGTGGGTGACGCCTCTACTTGACACTAACATTGTTTTTGAACCTGTGCCTCCCCAATTTCTCTGCAGGGAACGGTTCCAGCAGCAGCAGGGGCACTCCAGCAACTGCAGCAGCACCTCGGCAGCACCACTTGAGCTGGATGTGGGATGACGCACGGCAGAGGTGGTCACAGTGCTGTGACTGCCTCCTGAGTGCCCTGGTGACCACTGCACCCGCTACTGACGGTGCTGCGGATGGTGCTGCCGATTCTTCTCCCGACCCTGCTGCCGACCCTGCTGCTTGCGGTGCTGCTGACCCTGTTGCCGATCCTATTGCTGGCGGTGCTGCCGAACCTGCTGCCGAACCTGCTGCTGACAGCGCTGCCGTCCCTGCTGCTGACGGTGCTGCTGAACCTGCTGCGATGCTGCCAAACCTGCGCTGATGGTACTGCCGATTCTGCTGCTGACCCTGCTGCTGACGGTGCTGCCAAACTTGCTACCGATGGTGCTGCCGAACCTGCTGCCGACCCTGCTGCCGAACCTGATGCTGACGATGCTGCCTAACCTGTCACTGACGATGCTGGCCATCCTGCTGCTGATGGTGGTGCTGCCGCTGCGGGAGCCTTGTGCTGCTGCTGCTGCTGGCAGTGGTGGTGGCACTGCTGCTGCATCCGCTCGGACAACCTACTCAAACAAACAGCTAAGTGCTCTTACCTTTCTGATTTTCTCGTTTTGGTTTTCTAGTGCCGCCGGATCAGAAGTGATGGCCCTAGGCACTGCTGCGTGGGGGGCTGAGAGGTGGATGGGAGGTTGGAGTAAATTGGTGGCGGCTCGTGGCACTTGGCGGTCGGTCGCTCGCATGGTCTAGTCGGGTGACTTAGAAAGCATTCATTCTCATGCGCGCGTCCCTCTCTCTCCTCTCTTACCTCCTCTTTCTCCTCTCAGTCCCCCTCGCATGGCTGCCAAGTGCTGTGGGTTCGCTAGTGCTTCACACTCCTTCCTCCTTGAATCCTTGAAGCCATTCCCAGTGCAGTAGTGCCATGGGTCTTAGCCTCCGTCTTTTTTTTTCTTCATTTGCTGTTTTCCTGTTTTTGCTTGTGCCTTATCAACTGCTGTGGGTAACTCCTGTATTGGACACTCACAGTTGCTTTGAATCGGTGCGTCTCTTATTCTCTGCAGAAAAAAAAAACAGCGGCAGCGACACTTCAGCAGCTGCAGAAGCGGCACTTCAGCTGCAGAGACGGCACTTGCAGAGACGGCACTTGCAGAGACGGCACTTGCAGAGACGGCACGGCACTTCAGCTGTAGAGCAGAACTCAGCAGAACTCAGCAGACCACAGGATGACGCACGGCAGAGGCGGCCATAGTGATGTCACTGCCTCGTGAGTGCCCTGCTGACCACTGCTGCTGCGGCTGCGGTGGTGTTGGCATTGGCGGGGGTGATCGTGCTGCCACTGCTGGCGGGAGTGGTGTCGCCACTGCTGCAGCCGCTCCAACTACTTGCCCACCCAACCATCCGCAGCTAAGTGCTCTTACCCTTCTCCGTTTCGCGTTTTGATTTTGTTATTGCTGTTATTGGTGGCCCTAGGCACTGCTGCGTGTGTGGCTGAGAGGTGGATGGGAGGTTGGAGTAATTTGGTAAGTGAGGGCGTGGCGGCTCAAGGCGCTTGGCAGTCGCTCGCGTTCCATTCATGGTCAGTTTTGCGGGGTGGTTCAATTTTGCATTCATTCATTCGTTCGTTCGTTCATCCTCATGCGCGCGTCCCTATCTCTCCTCTTCAGCCTCCTCTTTCTCCTCTCAGTCCCCCTCGCATGGCTGTCAAGTGCCGTGGGTTCGCTAGTGCCTCACACTCCTCCCTTGAAGCCTCGAAAGCTTCTCCACTGCTGTGGTGCCGTGGGCCGCTTTTCTGGTTTTCCTGCAAACTTAGTTTTTCGTGCGGCTTGTAGTCTTTTGTGAGTAATGCCTCTTTTGGACACTTACATTTGCTTTTGAGTTCGTGCAGGAATTTGTTTCAGCGGCAGCACCACTCCAGCTGCAGCAACGACGCCTGTGCTGCAGCAACGCCACTTCAGCACCTGCAGAAATCGCACCCCTCAGTACTGCAGCAACGGCACTTCAGCACCTGCAGAAATCGCACCCCTCGGTACTGCAGCAACGGCACCTCGGCACTTCAGCTTGGCAGCAGCAGCAGCACTTCAGCTTGGCAGCAGCAGCAGCACTTGAGCGTGGCTGCAGCAGACGTGAGCGTGTGGGATGACGCGCGTGGAACCCGTTTCAGCGGCAGCACCTCCCCAGCTGCAGCGACGGCGCCTCTGCAACGGCGCCTCTGCCGCAGCAGCTCGGCGTGCAGGAGGACTGCCTCCCTCCTGCATGCCCTGCTGACCACTGCACCTCGGTACTGCAGAAACGGCACCTCGGCTGCAGCATCACTTCAGTGTGGCTACAGCAGCAGACGTGAGCGTGTGGGATGACGCACGGCACAGGGGGTCACAGTGCTGTGACCGCCTGTGAGTGCCCTGCTGACCACTGCTAACTCTGCTGTTGGTGGTGGCTGCAGCGCTCGGGGGAGCTCCTGTTGGTGGGAGTTTTGCTGGAGCCCTGCTGACCACTGCACCGGCCCCTGTTGGTGGGAGGGTGTGCTGCTGCTGCTGCTGCTGCTGCTGGAGCCCTGCTGACCACTGCACCTGCCCCTGCTGACCACTGCACCGGCCCCTGCTGACCACTGCACCGGCCCCTGCTGACCACTGCACCGGTCTCTGTTGCTGGCGGCTGTGGCGCTCGAGGGGGCAGCGCTGCTTGAGGGGAGTGGAGGTGCTCTGGCTGGCGGCTGGTGTGGAGGCGGCTGTGGCGCTGGAGAGGCGTGGAGGTGCAGAGCTTGTGGGAACAGCGGAGGGACCAGCGGTGGGAGCAGCGGAGGGAGCAGCGGAGGGAGCAGCGGTGGGAGCAGCGGTGGGAGCAGCGACACTCGAGGGAGTTATTGCTGACATGGACGGACGCTGGCTGGCTGCCTCTGCACTACACACGGCTAAGAACCCTCTTACCCTTCCCTATTCCAATTTACGTTACTTTCCGCTGTCTTTGTATGTCCGTAACCTGTTTCTTTGATCGCGCGGAAATTTGAGGGAGGGTGCAAAATTTGAACCTGTTTCCAACAGAAGGGAGGGTGCAAAATTTGAACGAGGGATCATTGGCGCGTGGCGATGGTAGCACATGGCACTGGGGCGGCTGGGCTCATACAGAGTCGCAGGGGGATAGAACGCATTCATTCATTCTCTTACCTAGTCCCCCTCGCGTGCTAGCTCCATGCCATGGTGCTGTGGGCTACCATCGCCCTTGTGCTTTTCGCAGTGTGTTACCACTTTGCTTTTCGTTATCAATTTCGCCTCTTGTGATCATGCTTGCCTTGCTGCTTTTCGCTATCACTTTCGCCTCTTGATGCATGTTTCGCATGTTTCATTTTCATTTTCTCATCGCATGCCCTGGCCTAACTTCCTGCATCCCCTTCCCCGAGTGCGTTTTCTCCCCAAGCCCCAGACCCTTGTCCCTGGCCAGAGGGAGGGAGGGCAGCAGATGCAGAGGCCCCAACCAGCAGCACCGTGCGCAACATCAGCAGCAGCAGCAGCACCACCATCCGCAACATCAGCAGCGCCAGCAGCAGCAACAGCAGTTCCCGTTTCTCGTGGCACGTTTCTCCTCCCCTCAAACTGGTGAGCACCTCTCCTCCCCTCAAACTGGTGAGCACCTCTCCTCCCCTCAAACTGGTGAGCACCTCTCCTCCCCTCAAACTGGTGAGCACCTCTCCTCCCCTCAAACTGGTGAGCACCTCTCCTCCCCTCAAACTGGTGAGCACCTCTCCTCCCCTCAAACTGGTAAGCACATCATCCTTTTTTCCTCCTCTTTTCGTCGTCCCTTGCTCGCTTCCTGCTTTCTGTTTCGCTTCTGCTCTTCCCTGCCGCCCCTCCTCCCCTTAATCCCCCCTTCCCTTCCCCTCTACCCCTCCCCCTCCTTTTCCCCCCTCCCCCTTCCCCTCCTCTTCCCCTCTCCCTCTCCCCCTCCCCCCACGCTCCCATCCCCTTCTTCCAGGAACCCAATGCAGACGGGAAGACGCCAAGGCTCTGAGCCTGGTAAGCACCTAGTCCCTCTCCTTCTCCTCAAATCGTTTGCTCGTCCCGCCCTTTGTTATGCTTGAGCTCGTCATTGAATTCCTCTCTTCTATTTTTTGTCGTTGATATCCTCTCTTCTGGCTCTCTACTGGCTCTTGTCCTCCCCTCAGGCGTTGAATTCCTCCCCTCAGGCGTTGAATTCCTCCCCTCAGGCGTTGAATTCCTCCCCTCAGGCGTTGAATTCCTCCCCTCAGGCGTTGAATTCCTCCCCTCAGGCGTTGAATTCCTCCCCTCAGGCGTTGAATTCCTCCCCTCAGGCGTTGAATTCCTCCCCTCAGGCGTTGAATTCCTCCCCTCAGGCGTTGAATTCCTCCCCTCAGGCGTTGAATTCCTCCCCTCAGGCGTTGAATTCCTCCCCTCAGGCGTTGGCAGCACGTGCGGGAGGCGCCTCCCATTTCTCGTAACATGTTGTCTCCCATTTCTATTCCCCCCTAACTGTTCCGCTGTGCAGGAGGCGCCTCCTTTTCCCATGGCAGCAGTGTGCGTCGGTGCTAAGGCAGGGCTGGAGGAGAGCACTGCTGCACTGGCAGAAGGTGCGGTGGCTCTGCCTTGGAATACTAGCCTGTTTTATTCTCTTCATTTATTCTATTCTCTTCATCTGAGATTTCTCTCAATGGGCAGAATGACGATTTGCTGAACTCCTCCTTTCTGTCTGCCGCTTTCCCTAACACCTTATCTCTCTCATTTATGCCCCCCCCTCTTGTTCCCCTGTGCTGGAGGCGCCTCCTTTTCCTTTTCCAGGCGGCAGCAGCAGTGGCGGGAGCTGCAGCAAGGGGAGGGGGCAGCTCTGGCGGGCGTTGCTGCACTGGCAGAAGGTGCGTTGGCTCTGCCTTGGAATTCTAACTTGTTTTATTCTCTTCTTTTGAGATTTTCAAGGATGCCTCGTTGCGGAACTTTTTGTTTCTCTAACCCGTTCTGTCTCCCATTTCTATCCCCCCCTTGTTCCGCTGTGCAGGAGACGCCTCCATTTCCCACGGCAGCAGTGTGCCGGTGCTAAGGGGAGCGCGGCGCTGCAGGCGGGAGTGTGGAGCAGAGGGGAGCGCAAGGCATCCTCCCTCCACCCATCCTCCACCCACCACCCACCACCCACCATCCACCATCCACCATCCTCCATCCTCCATCCTCCATCCACCATCCACCAACCTCCCTCCATCATCCTCCCTCCACCACCCACCATCCACCATCCTCCATCCATCATCCTCCCTCCACCATCCTCCATCCACCAACCTCCATCCACCATCCACCATCCTCCCTCCATCATCCTCCCTCCACCACCCTCCATCCACCAACCTCCATCCACCATCCTCCATCCACCATTCTCCCTCCACCATCCTCCCTCCACCATCCTCCCTCCACCATCCTCCCTCCACCATCCTCCATCCCCCATCCTCCATCCACCATCCTCCCTCCACCATCCTCCCTCCACCATCCTCCATCCACCATCCTCCATCCACCATCCAGCAGCACTGGTGGGCGCTGCAGCAAGGAGGGGGCAGCACTGGTGGGCGCTGTTGCACTGGGCAGAAGGTGCGTTGGCTCGGCCTGGGAATACTAGCTTGTCATGTTCTCGTCATTCGAGATTTCTATCAATGGGCAGAATGCCGTTTTGCTGACTTATCTCTCACATTTCTGTCCTTCCCCCCACCTGTTCCCCTGTGCAGGAGGTGCCTCCTTTTCCCGTGGCAGCAGTGTGTGCCGTCGCTAAAGGGAGCGCATCTCGGCAGGAGGGAGGGGGGAGCAGAGGAGCAGAGGAGCAGAGGAGGAGAGGGCAGAGGAGAGCGAAGGCCTGCGGAGGAGGAGGCAGCTGCGACCCATCCTCCCTCCACCATCCTCCCTCCACCATCCTCCCTCCACCATCCACCATCCTCCCTCCACCATCCTCCCTCCACCATCCACCATCCTCCCTCCACCATCCACCATCCTCCCTCCACCATCCACCATTCTCCCTCCACCATCCACAGTCCACTGCCCACCACCATCGTGTAGCAGAGAGGAGGGGATAGGGGGAGCGTAGAAGAGCGGCGTTGCAGGGGGTTTACCCATGAGCCGATGGGGTGGTGGAGGGCGGAGCTGGGACGAGGGGGGGTGATGAGCGCACGCCCAACAAGGCTCCCAGAGTTGTCCGAGCATGCTGGGTGGACGGTAGAGGGTTCCCCCATGAGCCGATGGGGTGGTGGAGCGCGGAGCTGAAGGGGCGTTGACCCGCGAGGAGGAGTGATGGAGGGTTGAGAGACTGGGGCGGCGGGCCAAGGGGAGGCAGCTGCGGCAGAGAGGAGGGATGCTGAAGCAGAGACGGCAGGTGAAGCAGAGATGGCAGGTGAAGCAGAGATGGCAGGTGAAGCAGAGACGGCAGGTGAAGCAGAGATGGCAGGTGCAGCAGAAGGTGACGCTAAGGGAGAGAGTGCAGAGGGGGTGAGCTGAAGCAGAGGATGCAGCTGTAGCAGAGGATGCAGCTGTAGCAGAGGATGCAGCTGTAGCAAAGGACGCAGAGGGGGGAGGCTGAAGCAGAGAAGGAAGCTGAAGAAGAGGGGGAAACCTCGAGCAGAGGGGAGCAGAGGGGAGCAGAGGGGGGATGTTGAAGGGGAGAGAGGAGCTGAAGTATAGAAGGAAGCTGGAGCACCAGGTGTGGCTGAAGCAGAGGGGGGAAGCTGAAGCTGAGAATCCAGCAGGGGAGTTGAAGCTGAAGGCGAGGGGGATGCTGAACGCGGGGGGGAAGCTGAAGGGGGGGGGGGGGGAAGCTGAAGGCGGGGGGAAGCTGAAGGGGGGGGGAAGCTGAAGGCGGGGGGAAGCTGAAGGGGGGGGGAAGCTGAAGGGCGGGGGGCGGAAGGTGGTGGCGAGTGGTATATGTCTTATCCTAGCCATTATGATGGCACAATGTATATCCTAGCCATTATCATGGCAAAGATATATCCTAGCCATTATGATGGCACACTATATATCCTTGCCATTATCATGGCAATGATATATCCTAGCCATTATTATGGCAACCTAGCCATTATTATGGCATGTCCCAGCCATTGCTGTGGAGTCTAAATCTCCCAACACCAGTGGCTTGGGAAACTACCTCTTCCCTCCATCCTGTTTTTCAACCACATGTCCCAACCACTGCTTGGGGGACCAATCCCCCGAGTAATGGCTTGGGCAACTACCTCTTTCCTAGCCCTTTGGGGCAGCTATACATCCTAACCACTACAACGGGCGCAATCCCCTGAGTAATGGCTTCGGAAACTACCTCTTTCCTAGCCCTTTGTGGCAACTATACATCCTAACCACTACAACGAGCGCAATCCCCCGAGTAATGGCTTCGGAAACTACCTCTTTCCTAGTCCTTTGTGGCAGCTATATATCCTAACCACTACCAGGGGGACCAATCCCCCGAGTAATGGCTTGGGAACTTCTTGCTTCTTACTTGATTTGGGTTACTGGTATATATCATCCCAGCCATTGGTTGGGAAACCAGATGTCCCAGCCAATGGTCTGGTTAGCACTATGGGTAAACTAACGGGAAAACTATTACGTACATCTCTTTGCCGTGGGCACCATCTGTCGCAAAGCCACTCACACGGGAAACTGAATGTTGGGCTGAGAAAAGCCCTTAGGATCTTTCCAGAGACTAAGTCCCAGTTGTAGAATGAGACTTGAGTAGTGCAGCGGAAGTTGAGTAGTTGAACCCTTGTACTAGTATATGAGAACAAGTGATTGATAAAAGAAACAAGCATACAGCAATATATAGAAAATAGGAAAGTAAAGCAGTTGTAGTATACAGTTGCAGGAGCGTTTATCGAGTCGCACAGCGACTCGATTGTCGCTTCGGTTACCATCCGTGCAGCTGTAACGGTCAGTCGCAACCTCCAGTTGCGACCCTTCGAGTCCTTTCGCGTTCTTTGTCCATCCCCTCGTGCAACCTCCGTTGACTCGCGTACCCGTTACGATCTTCCTCGAGTGTAGTGTTACGCTTCAGAAATGCTTAAGTCCTTTGAGATATTTCCAACACTCCCCTTCGTTTCTGGAGTGCTGACGTGTTCAGATCCGGTAACGTTTGTCTGCCCAGTCAGCAGCATGCAGTAATCGAACTTCGCCTTCGCCAGTTTCTTCGTCAGGTAGTTTGCGGCCATTTCTGTTGTAGGGCAGTAACTGAGTTAAAGTCTCCCCTTCGCGATTTCATCTTTGACGAAAAAGTACCGCAGGGCAATGTGTTTGGTTCGGTTGGCGAAGCCGTCCTTGTTCGCGATTTTGATCGCAGATTGGTTGTCGCAGAGGAGTGAGAAGACGGGCAGGGTCGCGATCTTCGCTTCCTCGAGCAACTTTCGTAGGTAGAGTCCTTCCTTGGTCGCAGTACAGAGGGCGATATATTCTGCTTCAGCCGAAGATAGTGCGATTAGTTCCTGCTTGCTCGACTGCCAGGAGATAGTCCCGATAGGTTCTAGTCGGTAGATGTAGCCCGTTCTCGATCGTCGGTTTTCCCTGTCTCCCGCGTGGTCGGCGTCGACGTATCCGAGTAGTTGTACGGACGATGTCGTTTCTTTACTGTAGGTAAGTCCGGTCGTCGGCGTGGAGATGAAGTAGAGTAGTGCCCGATTAAGTTCCTCGAGATCTTCTTGTTCCGGTTGCTTCAGATGCGTCGCCAGTTGGCTCGCGCTATAAGATAGGTCGGGTCGGCAGGTTACTGCTGCGAATAGTAGGCAGCCGAGCTTCTGCTGATACTCCTGGATTTGCTTCGCGGGGAGTTTCGCGGAGGTGTTGCTGTTGTTCCCGTAGCGGTGGGGAGTCGTGACCGTAGTCGGCGTTAGCCCGAATTTCTTCGCGACAACGCCTGCGTATTTTCCAGCGTGTAGGTAGAATGCCGAGTTGTCTTCGACGACATTCAGTCCCAGGTACTGGGTCACTGTGTCTGACACTGTGAGTGTCAGGTCACTTCTCAGCTCCCCTTCGAACCAGATGGCGATGTCGGTAGAGGAGCCGATGTAGAGCAGGTCGTCGACGTAGACGATGAGAAGGATAAAGGCTTCTTCCTTCTGAAGTCGATACATGCCTTGGTCGTGCGGCAGCTGTAGGAAGCCGATTCTGACGAGGCGGCCGTGAAGATGCTGCTGCCACAGCCGCGGAGCTTGTTTGATCCCGTAGAGGGATTTTATCAGCTGGCATACTTTCGTAGGGTCGTCGATGAATCCGTGGGGCTGCTCGACGAAGATCTCGGCGTCCACAGGTGCGTACAGGAAAGCGTTTGCGACGTCGATTTGACGCAGTGGTAGTTTCTTCGTGGCCGCGACGGCGAGTAGGATGCGCAGGGAGGTGTGACGGGAGACTGGGGCAAAAGTTTCTGTGTAGTCGGTTCCGTATCGTTGATCGAAGCCTCGTACGACCCATCGAGCTTTGAATCGTTCGATGGAGCCGTCCGCGTTGGTCTTGATGCGGTACACCCATTTTCCCGAGAGGACGTTCTTCCCGTTGATGCTTGTTGCAGGTACCAGCTTCCATGTATTTCGGTCTTGCAGAGCCTTTAGTTCCCTTTCCATCGCCTCCTTCCATTTCGCCTTATGTTCCCCCCCCAGAGCCTGCGACAGAGTCGAGGGCTCGCGCGGAGATGGCGGCGGCGGATGCTGGACGGAGACCCATAGGCTGAGGATCTGCAGTCCCGTGGGTGTGTGTCGAGGGGAATTTTCATTCCCGGAATAGGCTGCTTCGTCACCGTCTTCTGGATCAGGTAAGAAGTTGGGGCCGATGCGTTCTGAAACATTTGTGTCGACCGGGTGGGGTGTAGTGTAACCTTGGTCAGCGAAGTGGTAAAAGGTGTTGAGGTTGTTACTATCGAGAGGATTGTCTTCGTCGAGTGGAACAGGTACGGAACAGAAAGGGAGTGGTCCGGCAGCTTCCGAGGCTCCAGGTACGTCTTCTTCTGCTGCGTCAGCCTCGGCAACACGGTCGGCGAAGGAACGAAGGCCCGCGAAGCCGTCGGTGGGGTCGTGTGTATTGGCAATGTTGTCCAGGTAATGCTGCAGCGTCAGTCGCTCGTAGAAGATAACATCACGTGATGCCACTGTATTTTTGTCTTGTATGTCGAGGATTTTCCATGCGTGAAAATGTTTTGCGATGCCGAGGTGTAGTCCCCACCGAGCTCGTTGAGTGAAGCGTCCTGCTCGGGCTGTGTGAGGTCTGTACTGTACCATGCAGCCGAAAACTCGATGTAATTTTGTGCTGCCCCTTTTTTGTGTCCACAGCAGGTGCGGTGATGCGTTGTTGGGAAGCGATGACGAGGACAACAGGTTGTGCAGGTGGACTGCATGTGTCATCGCGTCTGGCCACAGTGTGGTGGGCAGTCTCATCCCCAGGAGCAACTTTCGCATCGTCGTCTGCAAGGTCCGGTTCATGCGTTCTGCGACCCCCTGCTGCTGGTGAGCGTAGGGCAGAGACACCAGGCGTCTGATTCCTCTTTCCGCCAGATAGGTCCTGAAGCGTTGTGACTGGTATTCCAGTGCACTGTCTGACTGGAAGCTCTTGAGCTTGGTTCCTGATTCTCGTTCGGCGATGGGTAGCCATGTCGTGAAGGCGTCGAAGGCTTGATCGCGTGTCTTGAGGTTGCAGTGCCAGACGTATCTTGTTGCTGCGTCGATAAACGTGATGACATAGTTGAAGTCGGCTTCAGTGTCTTCTCGAGGCATGTTTAAAATGTCGCTGTAGACTTTTTCCATCGGTGCGTATGCAGGTGCGCTTGGGTTGTGATGAGATGGGAAAGACTGGTGGGGAAGATCGGCTTCGGGGCACGTAAAGCACCGTGCGCGTGGTCGTCGAAGTTCTTGGCCGCTTGTTGTTAGGAGAGCGTTGCGTTCTAACACTTCGGCTTGGATGGTTTGCAGTATTGTACTGTTTGCAGGGTGCCCGAGTCGTTGGTGCCAGATGTCGTCGGGAGCGCAATGGTCGGGCGAACGGTGGTATATGTCGGTGTTGGAGAAGAACGCGACGACTGTGGGGGGACTTCGACAGAATTCTCGTGTAATGGGCATAAGTTGATCTGCTTCGGTTGGTGGTCCTCGGATCGCTGGTGGTGGTACTCGGCTGGGTCCTGCTGCGGCTACTGCAGGTGATGGTTGGGAAGGGACACTTGCTGGTACTTGTCTTTCTTGTCTGATGACTGCTAATGCTCGTGTTCTCTCTGCTGCAGGTATGGTGTTGGAGTGCCAGAATCCATCAGGGTCGAAGTCGGGGTCAAGATCCGGCGGGTGTATCCAGGCGGCGAACGACACGATTCCGTCGCTGTCGGCAGTACCGCGGTCAGGGACGAAGTCCAACACGAAGACGCCGGACTTCAGGAGAGCACGACCGATGAAGAGACCGCCCTTCTCGTGGTAAAGGCGAAACTCGTTGGAGTAGGAGTCGCACTCCAGGTGAATCCCTTTTGCCATTAGCTGGCTGACGCTTAGTAAGTTGTAACCCAAGTTGTCGACGATGAGGACCTTGTTGACTTGAAGTATAACGTTTGTCTCCATGGATTGTAATTGAACCACTCCTTGTCTGTTTGTTTTCAGGTTCTCGTTGTTGGCGACGGTGATGATGACGCCGCGGTTGAGGCGTCGCTCTCGTTGCACGAAGCGTCCGGAAGAACACATGTGTTGACCGCAGCAGCTGTCCAAGAACCAAGTGTTTCGCCCGGTGGGTTCGGCGTTGGCGACCGCAGCGTATG